ACTACAACTGTAATAAAAATAAATATACTATTTTTATTATAAATGAAAAGAAATTGGCAGAACGATGGTTCAGAAACCAGAAAAAGAATCTATATAATATTTCACTTTGTTAGTTTTAAATATTTGTTTCGTTTGAGTGGATGTACTCCTAAAATTTCCGAAAGTTTTTTTTATAACGGGTATAACATACCGGCTATTGATAGTTAAAGTACCGAGTCGTTACAGATATTAAAAAGTAACGAAAATTTTCATACAGTTTCATATATCGCAGCCTGATTTTAGTTTTAAAAACCGTCCGTATAGAAGCTTCCGGTGAAGAGAGGTGTCCGTTAAGAGAGAGTTTAGTGTAGTGTATTTGTTTATTGAAGCCAAAAATGCCGAGACGTGTTTTAGATGTAGACAAGTTTATGTTGAATGTACTTTCTTATTTTACTGCTAAGAAAACCAACGGGGGCCCTTTGCGACCTGTTTTGTCCGTACATAAACGTATGTGTAATGCTGTATTAGTGAAACAAAACTAAAGTCGGTTTTGCAAAAAGGAAAAAAAAGTGGACAAAGTGACAGCCAAAGACTATAGATATTCCCGAAGGTTGCAAATTTGAAATCCGTGAGACAATATATAAAATGCGAGAAAAGAAAGAACATGTTCCTTTAGATTCAGTGCTACAAAAATTAAGACAGAAATATATTTGAAATTTCCAGAACAAGTCTCTGGAGAGTTTTAAGACAGATTGGCTTTAAGTTCAAAAAGGAAGACATTAGAAAGGCTTTGTGTGAAAGAGCTAGTGTCGTTCACAAAAGAATAGAATTTTTAAGAAATTACAACAAATTAAAAAAAAATGTTCTTCCTTCGTTTATTTAGACGAAACATGGATTTTTGCTAAAGGTGGTATCGAACGAATTTGGCAGGACGAGAGTATAAAATCCATAAAACACATCGAAAACGAGGGAAAGAGATATATTATAGTGCATGCAGGTGGAAAACATGGTTTTATTGAGGGAGCAGATCTTGTGTTTTCATCAAAATCAGCCGATTATCATGACAATATGAATACGGAGATGTTTGTGAAATGGTTGAAAGAAAAACTGTTGCCAAGTTTACATGAACCATTCGTTATAGTACTGGATAATGCTGCGTACCATTCGGAAATTTTAAATAGGCAACGAACAAACACCTGTTTGTTGAGTTTTGAGATTTGAGTAAATTGTTTTTTTCGGAAATGCTGGTTTCTACTGCCACTGTTTGTATTATTTTTGACGGTGAATCATATCCTTGATTCACACGATATTTGACCATATTGACTAAGATTTGTTTCTCTCCTAATGACACTGCTTTTTCTGGGGATGTTTCAGAGTACTCATCTCCATTAATAAATTCAATCATTATAACACAAAAAATCACAATAATAACTATAGTCAATATGAACTTCAACGAATCAAATGAACTAACTAAAAAATGAACTAACTGAACTAACAATTAACGAACTTCAAAGAATCAAATGAACTAACTAAAATTAATTTCAAGTTTAGAATTTATAGTAAATTTTAATGAGGGGGTTAACAAACACATTAAAATTACATTAATTCCAGGTTGGAAATCAGTCGTTAGGCTGGGCATTCACATTCCGATTTGCGGTACCACTTAGTAGGACTACTAATTGGATATTCGTCTCCACTCACGCTCCGACTGGCTATCCAACTTCAGTTCTAATTTGTTTTCACGACCGTGTACTTCGCATAACCAAAAAAAAGGTATCGAGTAAACACTAAGCAAAATATAATTAGAAGGAGGAAAATGGCAGCAAATTCAAACAAGATCTCAATTGGTGATGTCTGTCTGACATCGCTGAGCAAAGATCCCTAATTCGCAAATAAATAATAGGTAACAACTTTCAATTGCACCAAAAAATATTATAGCCCTGCAAGTTTCTGGTATCACATTTCCCAATAGTTGTGGAGATATTTTACAACTGAATTTCAGATCCTCATTTGACCTTCCAGTGGCCAGAAATCGTAAAGTTGCTACAAGGCGTTGTTCAGTACTAGCACATTCACGCATGAAGGTATCTTTTTTGGAAATGAGTAGACCATTTTTTCCAGCAACAGCGAAAAAGAAGTTGTCCATTCTGAGGTAGTTTTTGTAATCATTCTCACCAATGAAATTGAGCAATTTAGTGTTAGAATAGTTCACACGATCAACAAATAATTTCTTCATCCAACATTTTTTCTCCTTTTTTTTCCAATTTGTTTTGTTTTACCAATTCTTTTTAATAGTCTCATTCGCTCCAGACTAGAATATGCAATAGTTGTATGGGGACCTTACTATCAAACACCTATAGACAAGCTTGATCGTGTTCAGCATAAATTTGGTAAACACTATCATTACCGCAATGCTTTTCATGACCTCTCTGTCCCATACAGTTATAGTATGATAGCTGATCACTTGAAAATGGTTTCTATGAATCGGCGAAAAGATTATTTTCGCCTAATATTCCTTTACAAAAGTGCTAATAATTTGATAAATTGCCCTGAACTTTTAAATCGATTAGGTCTTGACACTCTTCATGGAACTAGGCATACTTCGTTCTTTCATCTACCATTTCATCAATTTAATTATGAATACTTCAAGCCTCTTACTCATATGGTGAGACTATAGAATATGTATCAAAGTGTTCTGGACTTATTTTTCCAGTCTTTAGAACAATTTAAAAATGTGATAAAGAGACTGCTATTTGTTTGATATTAGTTTGTATTCAAGTTAATTATTAGTTTTTGTTAAATCTTTACTAATTATTTTTCTATGTTATGCTTATTTTGAAAAAAAATTATATATTATATTTTGTTCCAATGTAAATGGTATATCCATTAATAAATAAATAAATAAATCCACTAGGAAACTAAGTTCCTGTAGCTGGCTGTATACCATCTATCACAAAAAATTTATTTCAAATCCTTTATACAAGGTATTTGGATTTAGAAACGGTCTAGGAACTAGAGAGGCACTATTCTGTATGCGCGTTCTATTACAACAAAGTTGTGAATTCCGAAAGAATGTTTATGTTTGTTTCATCGACTTCGAGAAGGCGTTCGACAGAGTCCAACACAATACACTTTTCGACTGCCTACGGGCAGCAGGACTTACCACTATGATATAAGACTGCTGAAATACTTATATTACAATCAAGTAGCCTCTATCCAAATTGGAGACAGTCCCACTGAAAAAATACCCATCAAACGTGGAGTACGGCAGGGTTGTGTTTTGTCACCCACTCTTTTTAATCTATACTCTGAAGAAATCTTTAGGGAGGCTTTGGATGACAGACAAGAGGGAGTAAGACTAGGTGGAGAAGTAATCAACAATATTAGATACGCTGACGATACAGCCATTCTTGCAGAAAGTTTACAAGATCTCCAAACATTACTAAATCTAGTCAGTGAAGCAAGTTATCGGAGAGGCCTAAAAATCAACATTTCAAAGACAAAGTGGATGGCAGTTGGAAAGATCCATATAGATCAAGGTCTGCTTTCTCTTAATGGAGAAGAGATAGAAAGGGTAAATCATTTCAAATACCTTGGCAGCTGGTTAAATGTAAATTGTGACTCTGATGAAGAGATAATATCCAGGATCGAAATATCACGTAAGGCTTTTATGACCTGGAAACCAGTTTTATGCAACAGAAACCTGTCAATGAACATTGGTAAGAAGGTCCTGAAATGTTATGTGTGGTCGATCCTATTGAATGGTTGTGAGACATGGACGTTAAAAACCACAATGCTAAACAAGTTAGAAGCATTCGAAATGTGGTGCTATAGACGAATCCTAAAGATATCGTGGGTTTCGCACACTTCCAATGAAGATGTTCTTCAAATGATCAACTCAGAACGTCTGCTCATAAACATCATAAAGAGGAGAAAAACAGAATATAACAGAATATAATTAGAGGACCCAAATACCATTTACTTCGCGTTATAATACAAGGAAAAGTGGAAGGAAAGAGATGGATTGGTCGAAAGAAACTTTCATGGCTGCGTAATATTAGACAATGGTGTGGTTTCACAGTAGAAGAATTATTTCGCGCAGCAGCCGACAGAGAAAGGTTTCAGGAAATTGTAAGCATGATGACGGCCAACGTCTGAATACGGACACGGCACCCAAAGAAGAAGATACAAGGTATATAATAAAATGCCCAAACGGGCTATCACAATTACATTACAAAACGTTTTTGGATTGTTAAATCCATCATCAGTGTAAACGAGGTATACATGCTATGAGCCACCAAAATATATGGGTCAAAACCCTTTAAATGTTATAAATTTACAGTTGTTTTACATTATATATGGTTACAGATTAGGATTTTCGCCATGTTTATATACTTTTTATAAAGGATTTGAAATAAATTTTTTTGAAATAAAAAAAAGGTTCAATTTTAATTCATTTAGTTTGCACCAATCGCTAAATCTGCTGAGATCCTCTTGTAGCTGAATTTGACCATACTGACAAGTAATGACTTTATAAATTTTTTTATCAGCAAAGTTGAGAAATTTTGAATACTTAATGACTTTCTCAACATCGTTAACAAAAAGGACAAAAAGTAGAGGACCACAATGTGACCTCTGTGGTACTCCAGAGAGGACGTCAACAGATTGAGACAACACACCATTTATCTTAATGCTCGTGTTACCCACAAGAAACCCATCATACCATTCAAGCCATTTGCCAGCTATACCAATGGCTCCTAATTTACTGATTAAATAACGATGATTTACTTTATCAAATGCTTTTGAGAAGTCAGTATAGATGCTGTCTACCTGGTACTTCCTCTCAAAGGCACCCAATATATCATCTTGGTAGACCAACAAGTTTGACACTGTGCTCCTCCCTCTTTGAAAGCCATGCTGTTGGAGTATTATTATATTAAAACAAATGACGGTATTATATTTTGATTTGATACAGAGCAGCAACAAGCCGCATATACGTATTTTGATCTCTTTAGATCTCCTCAGTACGGTATAGTTACTACTCCATATGAGATATGTATATTAATAGATATTATATGAGATATTATATTATTTGTTAGTTTTGATAAGTGAGAAGTCACTAGCTTATCGAGAAGTTTTGGGATTGCTGACTGTATACAAATTCCTCGGTATTTTTCAATATCTTCCCTTTTACCTGACTTAAAAATGGGCACAATATAACTGTAAAGATGGAAACTCACCAGTCATAAGAGATAAATTATAAAGATATTTTAGGGGCATAGTAAGAGAGTGTAGACAGTGCTTTAATAATACCAGTGGAATTCCATCAGGCCTGAGGAGAATTTGTTTGCAAGTGTTTTTAATTCATCAAACACTGATATAGTGTCAACTTGAATTAGGTTTACAGGGTCAATGTGTCTGACCCAGTTTTAAAAATCTGGAATGGGAGCACCTTTCTCATATACACCTGAGAAGAACTCAGCAAAAACGTAATCAATTTCGATATTGCCTTGTGCCCTTCTGTTACCGAGATACATTTCTTGGGGGTAACTCGAAGATTTACGAAGTCTGCCAATGTATCCCCAAAATTCCCTGGGGTTATTACTAATTTTTTTTTCAAGAGACGAAAAATGTTGTTTCTGACAAGGTGTATGTTCAACTTTACATTGATCACGCAGATTAGAGAACAATAAGTAGTCCTCATTTGATTTAGATAATTTAAACCTCAGATGAGCTTTTTTCTTTTGAATAATAAGATCTTTAAGTTTTATTGAGAATCAAATTGGGAACTTGTACGAACACTTGACAGCCTTCATAGGAACAACAATATCTAAACACGGATACATATAGCTGTAAAATATTTGACAAGCCATTTATATTATTACAATGGTATAATGCAGCCCAATTAACTGAAGACAGATAAAGGTTAACAGAATTAAAATTACAGTTTTTGAAATCATAAACATAGTCTTCATAAAAAAACGACTCTTTATGTAACAGAACTTTATATGTATGGAATAGAAGGGTTAGGTTCTATTTTATCCAATAGAAGTGGCTGTAAACTTAGAAAGATTCAACCATTCTAATCTACAGCAACATTCTATAAACTAGTGAGAGATCAAAACGAAGATAATTTTGAAGATGAATTGCTAAATGAAGACGTTGAACTTCATGAAGTTGAAGATGTTTGAGCGAACCTTATATAATATTTTAGTGTTATGGAGAAACTTCAGAAAAATCATTAATATACATTCAACCGTTCTAATCTACAGCAGCATTCTATAACCTAGCGAGAGATCAAAATGAAGATAATTTTGAAGATGAATTGCTAAATGAAGACATTGAACTTCATGAAGTTGAAGATGTTTGAGCGAACCTTATATAATATTTTAGTGTTATGGGGAATCTTCAGAAAAATCATTAATATACATGTATCATTTTTTTATTTGTTATTCATTATTAAATTTTTCTTTACATAATTTAATTTATTCCTCCCACCACAAATTGTATAATCAAAAGAGATAAACATAAGTGTGATTTCTTTGACAATTAATTAAATATTGGTGTGTTCAGAAATAAATTTTATGTTTATCTTACAGATAAGTAACTGCAACATAATTTGATATGAAAAGACGGAAACATTTTATTCTATGAATAAATGTTTATCCTCCCAAATAACTATCTGTCAGATAGGACAATAGGTGTATTTTTCTTCATTAAGTAAGATGTGGTCAACTTCTTTAATTTGTTTTTTTTTGCTGTCTGTTTCGTTCATCATTATTGATGAATCTTTCCATTGTAATCTATGTTCATTGTCCTAGGCATGTTTTACTATCTGTGATGTGTTGAAGTCTCTGTTTTTGATGTTTGATTAATGCTCAAAAACATAAACAGATGTCTTTCTTCTTCTTTTCTAACTTTCTTTTGGCTTTTTTAAAACCAAAGTGTCCTGAAACTTGATACATGGGTTCATCTTGGTATAAGCAAGAACCCTATTGCATTTGTGACAAATAAATCTTCTTCTCCTTTGTCTTTACTTGCTATAACTTTTCTTGTTCTTTAATGAAACAACCTATAGTCTGAAACTTAATACATCTCTTGGTGTATTTTATCAAAACACAAAATAATATTGCATATTAAAGATGATATAAATGCAGGATTCCCAGTTGCTTTCTTACTGTCTAACGGACGAGACTCATAAGATCAATAAATTTTGTTAGGTAGGTATTATATCAGTAATGAAAATGTATGACTGGTAAGTAAGGATAATTTTCAAAAACCTTTAAGTGCCCCCAAGAATAGGATGTAGACAGAAATTCATGCAGAACATTTTATGAGTGATTATGATTACAAAATATTACAATGCATATTATTTTGTCTATTTTTTTTACTGGAGGAAAAGCTCTAGAATCTTAAAAAGCTGTATTAAGGTTCCTCTGGATTTAAGGAAGAATCTTGTAAAATTTGGGATCAATGGCTCTCCTCCTTCTCACTTTCTGGATCTTTTTATTTTTCATTTTCTTCAAGAAGAAAAGGTCCTAGACCTGGCAGTTAGTGCAAAAGTTTCTCTTGATATCAGGAAGAACCCTATTAAAATTGGAGTCAATGATCTCATCCATCATTTTCTTGAAAAACAAGTCTTATGAGTCTTGAAACTTTAAACAAATGATCCTCTTTGTATAAGAAAAATCCTATTAAATTTGTTTGCAACAGATCTTATTAAATTTTTTTCAACAACAGATCCTATTAAATTTTTTTCAAAAAAAAAAGATCTTATACTTCTTATTATATTCTTATACCTTTAATATACATGTTACATGAGTTTTTAACACATTAGGGCCTTTGGAACTGTGATTTTATTTGTAATTGAAAGTCATAGAATAGGAGTATTACTAATCAGTTTTCTTATACATAAACAAATACTTATTGAACTATTTTATAGCTTTATATATACGAGAATTTTCTTCTTACAATACTAAACATTTCTTTTTAAACAAAAACTAGGATACTTACAACTTCTGGAAGCACAATTTGAAGCATAGCAATGACTTTTTTCAGAGGCATCATATTATCCTCAATAAAGACTAGACATAACCTGCAGATTTTAACTTGGCTTTGTTCAACTTCCTCCTGCTTACCAGAGCAGCTCGTTGAAGGTTTAGGGTCTGTGTGTTCGTATTCCTTTTCTTGTTTAGGTTTTACTTCTGGTATATTTTCGCCCTTGCATTCTAGTAGTTTAACTCTGTTCCTGGTTGAAGCTATGTTGCTAGTTGAAGGTGTTGGATTTGCCTCTTCATATTCCTGTCAACCATAAGAAGCATTAAAGTGTAGCACTGGGAGATTCTATTAATAAAACAAAGCCCCAAAAAAGTACAGAAAGATACAGTAACAATTTAAAACATACTTAAGAATGTGAACTCTGAAGAAATATTAGGCCCTTGTGTGCCTAATAATGTGTATATATACCTTTTGATTAATATTGTACTGGTTTTGTAACTTTGACATATAAATATAAATAATAGTAACTAGAAAATCTACAGTGGAAGATTTAAGAAATTGCAAAAAGAGAATAAGATGAATAACATGGGTGGAAGGTGACTTATAATGTAAATATTAGTGACTAGAGCCAAGATGGAGTACCCAAATTTAAAGACTAGAAGAAAGGAATTATTATAAATTAATTATTATTATAAATTCTTTAAAAAAAAATTACCATAATGTGAAATATATATGCAATATATATTTTCATTAAAATGCTTAGTATCAACACCAGAAAAAGAACACAAAGTGATGAGTTGATGTACAAGTGCAATTTTTTCTACATTCTTCATTGGACAGAGAAGTTAATATTTATTTAAGCAAATTAGCGCATAAATCAAATATTAAACTACAATATTGATATTTCTATAGAAATTTTCAATGTTTAAATTTTGATACCAATTGACAACATATGAAGATAATTATTATTTCTTTGGGAAGGTCTTAATATCAGACACAATTATTTTTCCTCACCGGTATTCTGAATTTCGTTTATTGCTAATTTGACCAAACTTGGTCATCCACTGAATAATTTCACTGTACAAGCATTTCTAATGAGTTAACCCTTTCAACTACTATTTATAAATAATTAGTTAGAACATGTATTTTACCTTGAGGGGCTGTTCTGCATCAAAACCGAAGTTTCCATCACATTCTTGTTCTTTTTTAGGCTTTACTTTAGGTTTCTTTTCTTCCTTAATTTCTGGTATTTTTACCTTGAACCGCGGTTGAGCATCACCCGCCCTATTGATTTTCATCATCACCCTCTTTCTGGCTTTCAGTCTCATCGTTGTAGATGTTTTTTGCTTAATGTAAGCGAATTTAAGTTAATTACATTAAAGATCCATTATTTGTTTATAATGTTTGATAAATTAGACAGCTTCAACCAGTTAGGTTATAATTATATTCATTTGTCACTGTCAATTGTGTCAACTGTCGCTAAAGGAGGATTACAAAAAACGTAAGACATAAAACCTTTTACAATTACAGTATGTCCCCGGCCTTCGCGGCCTTCTGTCTTACCATCAAGGTTTGCTTGGACAAGGTGGTTGTTTTAGAATCAAAATAATACGTCCAAGTAGGTATGTATTATATTGTACATAATATATTGCTTATTATCATATCGTATTGATATTACGTAGTTATTTTAACAGGTGATTATAAAATATTATGAAAATTTCTATTACAATCTTGATCGCCAAATTCAGTTGACATTATTTAGTTAATTTTTAATTATCGTTTTACATCTCGATTTAATTTTTTATATATCTTGTAATCTTCCTCCTTTCTCGTTGAAATCCATTTCTGATAAGCAGTTTTCTTCTTGTTCACTAACGTTTGCATATTCTCCGACCACCATGCTTGATTTTTGTTTCAGATTTGTCTTTATTTCCCAAAGCTTCACTTGCAGCCTCAAGAATGCATTTTTAAGTTGCTGGTATAATTCTTCCGCTGATACATTTTCTCGACTCTTTGTAATTTTGTTCTAGGTTATATCAAAGAATATAGACGCTTAGCGCTATAAGAATATAGACGCTAAGCGTCTATATTCTTTGGTTATATTTAGGGGATGTTAATTCTTGTCCCTTTTCTATATTCTGTGCCTGAGTGTTATTATTTTTGCGATAGGTAACTATCACGTTGGCCATAAGTAAACGATGGTCGGATCCACATTCTAATTCACTATGTATACCCTTACGTCAGTTGTTTTCAGCTGGGAAATTTTAAGTTGGATTACATAGTCGATTATCGAGTGCAGATTCCTAATAGGTTGTATCCATGTAAATTTGTGGATGTCTCTATGTTGAAAAATCCATTCATAATTTTGAGAGACATTGTTTTACAAAAATCTTTAAGACTTATTCCGTTGTTATTGGTTATTTGTTTCCCATATCTTCCCACGACTCTGTTTATTTAATTCTCTCCATAATCTGCCGTTTAAATCTCCTAGTATAAAGAGTTCACAGTTTTCTTTAACTTAGAGAGTATTTCATTCATTTCATTGTAGAAATCGTCTTTACTTTCTGGATCTGCGCCTTTCTTTGGGGCAAACACTTCAACAATTACGATGTTGTGCCCATTCTTTTTCATTTCCAGTATTAGCAATTATTCATTTACTTCAGTCCACGATTTAATATTGTTTTTAAGATTTTTTCGAATGACAATAGAGACTCCTCTCTTAGCTCTGTTATTTTTACACAGTCCACTGTAGATATGTATATATTCTCCTATCTCTTCATTTCCTTATCCCTTTTTCTTGGCCTCGGTGAGAATACATATATCTATTTTTCTTTCCGCTAATTATTTGAACACTTCTGCTTGTTTGGTTCTAAGTCCTTGTACATTCTATGTAGCCAATATCATTTTCCTTTTCCGTTACATTAGTCATCTTTGTATTGATCCATCCTTTGTATTCCGAAGCTTTTGGTCGAAATTTTTAGCATTTATTTCTTTTGACAAGGGATGAGTTGCCAGCCCATCGCTGCAACTTGAAATGACTTACCGTCGAGTTAATACAAATTATATTAAAAATTGATTTCGCGCGCGTAACTGACTTCTTACCTTGTCAGTCGCTTCAACAGTTATTTCTGAGAGAACGGTTCATTCTACAAAAAAAGTGCTAATAAAGATTTTTGTATAAATTTATCTCAGCTACCATTTTTATTCGAAACATTTTTTCTACTGCTCGCGGCGTACAGATTTTTGGTAAATCGATTTTTCCCCTTTGCGAGGAGGGAAATTAGGAAGAAGCTGGATGGTAGGGATGGTAATTTTTTTTGCATATTTTTTGGGTTCCAAAATTGATATTCTCAGTAAAATTTAGCTTGCTTTTATGATTTTTAGAGGCCAAATCTCTGGCTAGTGGACTAGAAAGATACTTATATCAACCAGGATAGCCAGATCAGCCAACCAACTACTGCTCATTAGATAGAAAACTAATTTCTTGGTTTTTGTTAAGAAAAATCTTTACTTCAGGGAGTAGCAAATAGAATCGCTTCAATGTGGTTACTCTGATCAGCCACCAAACGCGATTGAAGTACACAATTTCTTCCTGACCTGAAGCTACATCTGGAAGAAATGTTTGGACTTTGATTCAGGCCTCTTGCACGTATAAAATTAACGGGGCGCACTACTTTATCTATCACATGTTTCAGTCCGAATCCTTTGCACACAACTGTTATTGATGTATAATACAATGATATTATTGCATTGCTGATACACTGTCAGTGGTTAATCCGCAAAGATTTTCGATTTAAAATGAATATTTTTCTAAGCATCTCATTACTTCTTCGCAGATGCCTTTTCCTGTAGTTGTATCTCTCCTCGGACGTAAACCAAGTACTTCATCAATAACAGTATAGTCTTGTCATTACTATCACTACTATCACTGCCAATTGCATTGCATCGGATCTATCAGTACTTTAGTCGAGAGCGAAACTATAGAAAACGCATTTCCTTAGTTTTGTTTTTAAAGATGGTTCGATATGGTTGGCCATGTCATCAATTCTTCTTGGTATGGTTTGATGTAACAAGCTTGTATTTTTAACTAGTGTTTTCTACCCTAGACAAATTTATGAACAAATTCTCTATCTGAAAGAATTTTGCTTCTCTTGGCAATGGCTTCTACTATCTTGAAACTGATTTTTGTAATTGTCTCTGAGTTTTCTTTTGGTATTTTGAACATTGCTTGTTGACTGGTCATATTTTGCTTCAATGAATTTACACAATCGATTTGAATTTGACCTTTGTATTCATCGTATTTAGAAGTGTGTTTTGTAGAGTAATGATGCCTAATATTGCATTCCTTACGAACTGATATTAAGTCATGATATATGAGGCACAGTATGCTTCAATTGTATTCTATGACAAAATTGGTTTCAGTCCAACCGTGTCTAAATATTCGACATTCCGTCCCGTCGCCACCGCGCCTCGCGCTATATCGATAATATCTATATTCAACTAGCGCTGCGGGCCGGATGAACGACTTGTGCGGACCACATTGTGAATCGGGGCCTTATGTTTAACGGAGTTCTTCTTCTTAGCCTTCTATCGTCCAAGTTAGGACATAGGCCTCTCCCAACTCCTTCCATAGGTCTCTATCCTGAGCAACATATTTCCAATTTGTTCCGGCTATTCTTTTAATGCCATCAACCCATCTCATCTGTGGTCTTCCTCTTGGTCGTTTACTTTCGTAAGGTCTCCAATGTAGTATTGTAGTATTCCAACGTTGGTCTTTCTGTATAGCAGTGTGACCCGCGAAGCGGACAACACTGCTAGACAAAAAGACCAACGTTGGAATTGTAAAGTTTGGCAATTTTTGTTGTTATGTCCTCGACTTTTGTTTTTGATCTTACCCAGTCATTCCTCTTTTTATCTGACAGTAGTATACCTAACAGGTTTGACATCCATATGTCACGATAGGAAGGATGCATTGATTGAACACTTTGCTCTTCAAGTATTGGGGTATTTTGCGGTTCTTAAGTATCCAACTAAGTTTTCCAAATCCTGCCCATGCTAGTCTTGCTCTTCTAGTAATTTCCGAACTTTGGTTTTCTTTGTCAAGTTTCAGGATTTGGCCTAGGTAGATATATTCCTGGACTTGTTCTATTTCACTGCCATTTATAGTTATACGTCTGTGGTCATCTGTGTTTTTTATTTTTGTTTTTTTCATATTCATTTTTAGGCCGACGTATTGGGAGCTGCTTGCTAGTTCCCCCATCATAATTTGCAGTTCCTCGAATGTGCTCGCTATAATCACTATGTCGTCAGCGAATCTGAGGTAGTTTAACTTGTTGCCATTAACGTTAATGTCATAGGTTGACCAATTTGTAGTTTTGAAGACGTCTTCTAGGGCTAGGTTGAAAAACGTTGGCGATATTACGTCTCCTTGTCTCACTCCTCTCTTAATGGGGATGGGATTTGTATTTTCGTCTAGTTGTACTATCATAGTTGCATTTTCATATATATTATGTATTAGTTGCCTATATCTCGAATCTATTCTACAATTATTAATAGCTTGTTCTATGGCCCACATTTCAATACTATCAAACGCTTTTTCATAGTCGACGAAGGCAAGAAATACGGGTAGTTAGTATTCATTTGCTTTCTCTATCAATGTTCTCATCGTCAGCGGATGGTCTGATGTACTATATCCTTTGTGGAAGCCAGCCTGTTCAACCGGTTGGTAATTGTCCATTTTGTAGGCCAACCTTCTTCTTCTTAGAGTGCCGTCTCCCTACGGAGGTTGGCAATCATAATGACTATTTTTATTTTAGAACTTGCTGCTCTAAACAAATCAATCGATCTGCATTGGTACCAATCGCGTAGATTCTTTAACCATAAGTTCTGCCTTCGGCCAACAGATCTTCTTCCTTCCGGTAGGCCAACCGGTTGTTAATAATTCTCATAAATAGTGTGTATACTTGACTGAGCAACGATATAGGTGTATAATTCTGTAGATCACATTTGTCCCCTTTTTTTGTAAGAGTATTACTATTACTACTCTCGTTCCAGTATTTAGGGATCTTGCTATTATGGAGACATCTATTAAATAGCTCTGTTAGTACAGGGATTGTTAATGTCTTGCTTGTTTTCAAGAGCTCGGCAATTATACCATCGTGTCTTGGAGCTTTATTATTTTTTAGCTCTTTTAAAGCTCTTTCTATTTCGAATCCCTTTATATTTGGTAGTACTTCTGATCCCACGTTTTTATTTTTCTTTTGACGTTCTTCTTTGTTGTTTAATTTTCCTTCTCTTCCTTATTGTTGGCGTCTTTAATTTTTATGATTTTTTGTACTCCCAGTGCGGGTCTTAGACATTTTAAGCCTCTGTTGTTTTCAATGACTCGCTCTATTAAGTTCTCATTCCATTTTTGTATGTCGCGTTTTAGTTATTTTCTAATTATTTTATTAAGTTCTCTGTATTCTTGAGTGTAGCGTTTGTTTTGCGCTAGTAGTTGTCCTCTTTCTGTCATTAGTTGTTTAGTTTCATTGCTTATTTTGTCTTCTTTAGTCATTGTTTTCTTTGAGACCTATAGTCCGGCTGCGAGAAGGTTTTTATTTATGTTTTTATTAATCTCGTCAATTTGATCTTGATTATGTGAAGGATCAGATTCGAACTTATCCGCTAAGAACTCTCGGAATTGCTCTTCATTTGTTCTTAGTTTAAAGGCATCTATCCTCATTGTTTTTTAAATCCTTTTTCTCTCTTCTTTTGGTAGTTCCGTTAGGTGCGACTCATGTCCACTTTCTGTTAGGTTTCTTTTTCTAGAAAGTATTCATAACATACATGTTTTCTTGTTCCAAGAATTCCATGAGTTTTTCTCCTCTTGTGTTTCTTGTGCCGAATCCAAAATTTCCAATCTTGCTTGTTTAACGGAGTTGCATTCGACTATTTCCTAAGGAGTTTTCATAAGTTGCAGGTCTATGCGAATAAACCACAAACCTGAGTGGCTGTCAAAGCCAACTTAACCTATGCCATCGGTCAAATTCCAACTGACTTATGGGCCAGAATATTGGAAAATTGGATTGACTTTCTGGTTTTTCGATATATACCGTAGAACATCCATTTGTTATAAGAATAAGTTTTATTATTTAACAGGAAAATCATGCTAAAAGTGAAGTGGAATTAAATAATACACGAAATTGAACAATGAATTATAATTTTCATTAGATCAAAGGTCAAATATACATAAAATCATAAATATTGGAGGGTATAACAGTTCTTTCATAACACAAAAATAAAACTTTGAGCCTATACATTACATTAACATCATTTAAGGCACTTATTTGGTATAGATAAAACATATATGTACACATTTAAATAAAAACATGCCAAAAAACAGTAAAATCCAGATAAATTCATTCGGTTTTAATGCTTATTTAAAACCGTAGTTAAGGTAAAGGTACAATAACACAGAATCATTGTTTTATTTGCTGCTTTATACAAGCAGAAGTTTGAGATTCTCTTTTGTAAAACTCGACATAGTCTTTTTTCGATACAAGATATTGTCGCAATAAATCGTTACATAAATTAGGTATTAGAGTTCCAAAAGGCAGCAGCTTTTCTAAAGCTGTCACTCTTCGGTTTATCTTTATTATTTAAAGTAGGAGACTGCTCATCCGGAACATACTTTCCATGTTTACTAACATAATACTCGTTGCTTTGCTCCTTAGCAATAACGGCTTGAGTCTTCCTCAGTAAAGATGGAGAAGAACTTCTGAACCTTACAGTAGGAGAAGCTGCTGAGAGAGTGTTGAGTTTCTCGTTGCTAGAAAGTTTTTCTTTGATTTGTTCCACACGCGATGTATGCGTGTTGGTCTTTTCTAAACTAGAAGTTGTATGGATGCTGGTAACTCCATTTCCGTTCGGTTTGACTGTTCTGTGGTTTTGTTCGATTTTTGGGAGGGGTGGTTTGTCTGTTGTGTCGCGGGAGTCGAATTTTTTTATCGTTCCCGCCACAGTTCTCGATGTGTAGATGGGTAACCTTTTTAAGCTGCTTGCCGCAGTAGGCGGCTTGGCTAAAAACACAAAGAAAAATATTAATATGTTATTTTAAACAAAAATTATAGCATAAAACACAGCATTTGTACATAAAAGAAGATGATTTAATCCCGATTATCAGAAATATCTTAACAAAAATGATAACGAATAAACGATGCTAAAATTGTAGATTAAAGGTCGATTCAGACACATCAGTCACGTCTCGTCACAGTGATGGCACCGAACCGAACAATCCGTCATACAAAATATTCTTTAATACAAATATGGCGCCGGCATTCACACTCATCAGTTGACAAACAGTTTGCCAGCTGTCAGATAGTTGATAGTTCTGTGACCAAACAGGACCGGTTCGGTGCCGTGACGATGACGTGACTGATGTGTCTGAATCGACCTTAATAAGGGAATAAAATAATCGGTTGAGTTTACCGAAAGTACAAGCTGAATATAGCCGCAAATGTCAACTATGAAATAAAATATTTCGGTTTCGCAGTGTTGGGATGTTTTCATAATGTATATGTTGTATGCTTCAAATATAAAGAGAGAAAGCTTTTAAAGTGCATTTTGATTATACTATTTTACAAATTCTGCAATTTTTATTTATATAAAACAATAACGAGTAAATATTTGTCTCCTTCGAGATTAATTGCAAACATCTGTTGCAAACTGGCAAGTGCTGCCACTAATTAACTGCAAATAATCTATAAAGAAACAAATATTTACTCATTGCTTTTCTAAAGGAATTTACAAAATGTCAACAAAATGTACTTTTCTAAAGCTTTGTCTTTTTATATTTGAAGCATACAGCATACATATTACAAAAATATGCCAATACTGCTAAGCCGAAATTTTTTGTTCCATGTTTGACATTTGCTATAATTAGCTTTTATTGTCTATTCGCTTAGCTAGGGCATATTTTGACAGACTCATTGTAGGAAACCTACAACACAACAATTCCTACTTCTCAGTATGAATAGCTCAAGTATACTACTATTGCAGACCTCTTTCTTTGAAAAAAAGAAGAATTATTCTAAATAGTGGAAGTGTATACTAAACACATCAAATTTTCCGTGTATATTTAAAATATAATATTTGAATTGTTACAATTTAAAATATTGTAGTAAATATTTGTATTATTCGCGTTGTTTATTTAATTTAATATTGTTTTATTATCTTTGTTTAATTCTTTTGTTAGTTCTATTCAGTTAATTAGTTAGTTATATTTTAAATTTTATTATTATGGATAGTCAAAGTTTTCCATTTGTTCCATCAGCTAATGCGTTGGTAAGTTTTTCTTAATAAATATGATAAAATGTTTTTTAAAAAGTTTTTTTTAAGTTAATATTTTTAGATTAGTAAGGATGCTGTTCCTAGATTACAAGGTAATAAAACTGCACAAAGGTTTATTCAAAATGCCTACCATTTTTTTTACCGAATGAAAACCCTGTTGAGGTAAGTTGATCATTAAAATGTATTTATCGAATTATGTAAATGTTGTAAATACATAAGGAACTTGCTGTGTCTTATTCTTATTTAACCTCACTTTGACTTCTTAATTTTGTAGAATTTATTCCCACTTTTTTATTTTGTACAATAAATAATTTTATTATTTGTTATCAATACATTATACGGTGTAAATAAATAAATATTGATTGTCGGCAAAGTTCTATTTTATTTACTTTTGTTTACATTAATATTGACTAAGAGCACGTATGCTTGGTTGTATAGTATTTTCCAGCCACTTCGAGTCTGTCAAAAAGTTACTAACTTCGAAAAAAAAAAATTACTAAAATCACTAGACAGTTCGGACTGGGAATAGCGAACCGGGTATACTTTCGGTAATAGTATATTCATCGAGCAAAAAGACAAAAGAGGGAATCTAATCGTTATAGAAAGGAGACCAAAAAAGTGGCCTCTGATGGCGGACATATCCGGAAATGCAAAGGCGCTAAATTTAAATGTTCCGACACTTATTAACAGTAGCTATAAAATATTTTTCAGATGAGAAAGTTTTAATTAAATATTAACGATAATAGTCTAAAAAGTGACACAATTGGTAAATAACTTCAATATATGCATTTCATGTGACAATTGGGACAAACAATAACATAACCAAACTAAATTTGATTTCTTAAACAAGGAAAGAGACTGTCTTTCCTTGTTTAAAGTGGCCTCTCAAGATAGCACTTCCTATCTAACAATATTTTTGTCCCCACTACCTTTACATTCCCTCTTTTGTCTTTTTGCTCGATGAGTATATTACATAACGAGAGTTGTAAGAAGCTTATTACATGCGAGTAAAAAAGTTGCGCGCGAGCAGCGTAGCGGCGAGCGCAGTAATTTTACAAGCATGTAATAAGCTTACAACTCAAGTTGTGTACTATACTTTTTCTACCATTATGTTCGTTTATAAAAATAAAAATTAAATTACCACTATATTTACACTGACAGATTAATAATTTTTAATCTGTCAAAATAACGTCTGTTAATTCGTTTCCATGGTAACTCGACCAACTGACTTACAAGGCTTATGTGATATTCATCGAGCAATAAGACAAAAGAGGGAATCTAATCGTTATGAAAAGGAGACCAAAAAAGTGGCCTCTGATGGCGGACATATCCGGAAATGCAAATGCGCCAAATTTAAATTTCATGACACTTGACAATAATCATACAGTGGTGTAGGGGTTCTAATTTATCTATTTATTTATTTTATATTACATAATATTTTATATTATATATTTATCTATGTTTTTTATTAAAATTATTTATTAAAATACTTTTTTTAACACTATAATAGTCTAAAATGTTAAAAAAATTCAATAGAAAATATAAATATAAGCTTTCATGTGACAGTTTTGACAAACAATAACATTAACAATAACATAACCCAACTAAATTTGATTTCTTAAACAAGGAAAGAGATTCTCTATCCTTGTTTAAAGTGGCCTCTCAAAATAGCACTTCCTGTCTATCAATATGTTTACGCCCACTACCTTTACATTCCCTCTTTTGTCTTATTGCTCGATGGTGATATTACACATTTTTATAAAACTGAAGCGTAATTTTTTTTATTACGTGCTAGTCATTACGTGTCAGTATCTGTTATGATGGATTTACTTAGCATCCAAATAGTAGGTAATATACAATTTACTAGTAAGCGAGTAGAAAAAATATATAGATATATATATATTTCGGTATAGCACACAAAAATTACTTCAGAGATGCTAAAAATGGGAGGCACTCCATTAGAAGAGGCAATAAGAGTATTACTTAATAAATGCCTATTGGAAGGACAAATACCGAAGACATGGAAAAATGCGGAAGTCATTCTACTCCATAAAAAAGGGGACGCCGCAAATATAGAAAACTACCGACCAATAAGCTTATTGTCACACCTTTACAAACCACTAACCCGAATAATAACAAATAGATTGACAGCTAAACTAGATGCATACCAACCAGTGGAGCAAGCAGGCTTTCGTAAGGGTTTTAGCACTATCGATCATAGAGTACAACATACCACTACATCTGGCATTTGTCGATTATCACAAAGCATTCGACAGTATCGAAAAATGGGCTTTCTTAACAGCATTGGACGACGCCAGAGTAGATTCAAGATATGCTGCGCTCCTTAAGAATATATACGATGATGCTACTTTTCACGTAAAAATAGATGATGATCTGGAAACTATGAAAATAGACCTTGGCAAAGGTGTGAGACAGGGAGACACCATCTCACCCAAGTTATTTACTTTGGCATTAGAAAATGTTTTCAAACAACTAAATTGGGCCGAAAATGGATTAAAAATAGATGGAGAATATCTTAACCATTTGCGTTTTGCAGACGACATAGTACTAATAAGCACAGATATCCATGAACTAAAATTAATGCTACAAGATTTAAATCACAAATCGAATCAAATAGGATTAAAAATGAATCTCGACAAAACAAAGATATTAAGCAACAGCCTAGAAAACATCACGATAGATAACATCAATATAGAAAAGGTTGAACAATATATATATATATATATATATATATATATATATATATATATATATATATATATATATATATATATATATATTTACGGCATAAAGTGGACTCCGCCCATGTTAAAATTCAGGTTCAGGTGAGCTCCGTGGTCAAGTGGACACCGATATACGGAGCTCACTTGACCATTCCATAATATTGGCTCTGTCGATTCGTCAACATGTATAGTTTCATAATTTTTAAAAAAATTTTGGAGCCCATAATTATCCCTGTATCATAAATGTATATCGCTTAGTTCACGTGTATATATTATAGGGGTCGTTCAGATCTTTTTCACTGTATATTGGAACCATACGTATATCGGTTTAAGTAAGCTCTGATAGTTTGGCAACTCTGCTATAAGATGTATAATTCTCGCGTAAAGTCTGGACGGTTTATATGGACTCCTTAGTTTTGCTATCATTCATACGCATTACAGTGTGTAACAGATATGTATACTATTAACTACCTGTTTTTGGTAGGTACAAGTTCTCTAAAAATAGCTTTATAGATACAAAAGGATTTCATTACCAAATTGGATTTTGTTTCATATGCGGAAATTTCCTAATGTATTTTGTTAACGTGAATATGTCTTCATAAGTTTTATTTAAGAATCCGATTAATAAGAACTTCTTTTATTTCATCCATTGTTTTATGATATCTTGTATACAGCTTTTTTTATTATTTTATTTCTGGTTTTATCTATGTACTACATATAAGTTTGGATAAAAGATTATCTCAAAATAAATATTTAAGTGCTAAAATAGATATTTTTGTGTAAAAATGGGTAGTAGTGCACAAAAAAAAGAAAGAATTTATCTAACAAGTATTATACCACTTCTCCAATATTACATACTTCTGAATGTTTTATTTTCTATTTAGGGGTAATATGTTATTAATATAAGTGGAGTTAGTTTCAAATTTGCAATGATCTTTATAAGTAAAAGCTTACTGGCTATACTTAACATGTTTAGTTCAAATAAG